ATAGATATTATTTTGCTACTGTTTTTCCTTCTCTAGTGAAATCATCCTAGTTTTACAAACCAATGTAATAAAGCAGAACTGCACCAAATAAATGGAAAAATTCTTCAGTAGTATAGGATTTTCATTATTTAAATTTTTTTAGTATTTTGTTTTAGTTGTAGTTGGACACAATACCTTCATTTTATTTTTATGTGGTGCTGAGGATTGAACCCAGCACCCCACACAAGCTAGGCAAGTGCTCTACCACTGCGCCACAACTCCAACCCCAGGATTTCTGTTATTTTTTTAATATTTATTTTTCAGTTTTTGGTGGACACAACATCTTTATTTTATTTTATGTGGTTCTGAGGATTGAACCCAGCGCCCCGAGCATGCCAGGCGAGCGTATTACTGCTTTATTTAATGAAATTTATAATCACAAAAGATTTAAAAAGAAGAAAAGGGTTGTGGTACATATACACAATGAAATATTACTCAGCCATACAGAAGAATGAAATTATGGAATTTGCTGGAAAATGGATAGAACTGGAGAATATCATGCTAAGTGAAATAAACCAATCTCCCAAACCAAAGGCCAAATGTTCTTTCTGTCTGATATATGGATGGTGACTCACAATAGTGTGTGTGTGTGTGTATGTGTGTGTGTGTGTGTGTAGGTTCACCTGATTGAACAGAGGGGAATAGAAGGAAAGGAGGGGTGATGGGAATGGGAAAGACAATAGAATTAATCAGACATAATTTTCCTATGTTCATGAATGAATATACAACCAGAATAACTCCACATCATGTACAACCATAGAGTGGGAAGTTATACTCCATGTATGTATGATATATCAAAATATAATCTTCTGTCATGTATAACTAAAAAGAACAAAATTTTCAAAAGACAGAAGGACCCTAGGTATCTGAATAACTTCTTTTTTTTCTAATATTCTTTAATTTTAAAAATTGACATATTTAGGGCTGGGGATGTGGCTCAAGTGGTAGCGCGCTCACCTGGCATGCGTGCGGCCCGGGTTCCATCCTCAGCACCATATACAAAACAAATATGTTGTGTCCGCCAATAACTAAAAAATAAATATTAAGAAAAAAAAATTGACATATTTATGAGAAACAGTGTGATAACTTGATTCACATATACAATGTGTAAGGATCAAATCAGGGTGATTAGTGTTTCCATTTCTTTAAATGTTTATCATGAACCTCTTTGAAGAAAGTTAGGTATTTTGGGGGCTGAATAAGAAATAAATTTCTGTCTCATTTAGGCCAAAGGAAAAAAAAATAGAAAGGGTTTATCTGCAAACACATTCACATCCATCCCCCAAACAAAATAATAAATAAAAAATAAGGCATTTGCTGTCTATTAAGTCCATGCTATTGTTTTAAGTAGTAAATCAAGGAATTCATCTAGAAAAAAAAGCAATGAATACACAAAAACTTTTTAAAATAATTTTAACAATTTTTAAATATTTATTTTTTAGTTATAGGTGGGCACAATATATTTTATTTTTATGTGGTGCTGAGGATGGAACCCAGTGCCTCACGGCTAGGCCAGCGGTCTACCTCTGAGCCACAACCCCAGGCCCTAAAAAATAATTTTTAATATTCTTTTTTCACTGTTCCTGGCAGTTTCTGGGACACAAAAGGTATTCAAACTTTTTTTTCAATTAAAATTAATAACAATATTGAATTTTAGTAATTTTTTAACATTTTAAAATTTCAATCTTTGCACACAAATCACCACTCAACTTTGTAGAACAGAGGAAGACTGGACTTGAAGATCGTCATTCCCCTCCTTGTGTCATACAACCCAGCAATTCGACGTCCTGACCCTTCCCACCCTCTGACCATTACTGTGGTCCCTATGACCCAGCAGAGAAAGAGGACCAGGTGCAGTATCCACCCGCACATCATGCCCAGAGAGGAAGGTCCTTCTGCAATCTTGCCAACATGCTCTGGGTCGCATTTCACGGTCTGGACCACAGGGTGGCTTGTCTTTATGTTTTTGTTTGGTTCACAGCAAAACTGCTGAAATTAATTTTGTAGTCCCTGAGGGAACTCAGACGTTTGGTAAATGTCAGAGTGAGACACTGAGGAGCGGGGCGGGGAGTGCTTTGACCCAGCAGTGGACGTGAGGAATTATCATCCCAAGGGATGGTGAAGACAACACCTAGCAGGGTCGCAATGGCAGCAGCTCTTAGCCCTAGGAGCGTTGAGAGCTCCTGGGAATTCAGAGCTAAACTGGGAATTTAAACACAGTGCCTTGAAGATTGGGAATAAAACCTAGGGGGAATGACTGTTCAATAATCTATCGTTTGCTTTCTGCCCTTGATTCTTAAATTCTTAGGTACCAAGGAAGTAAAGCAAATGCGGCAGCGAGGAGAAAGACGTGTGCCTCATGTCTGAAACCCCACACATCAGTCTGGGTTTGGGACTGAGAATACCACCTTAACATTAAAATAAGGATCCCCTCCCATCTTTAAAATTTTTAGAGTTGGGCATTTTACCTATCTACCACCCAAACAGAAACACCTCTGAACCTATGAAACCTGGTTTGAGTGTGGAGGCGGCCAGTTTAGGCACTGAGCTCCTGAACCATGCGTACACTGCCACGCAGAAAATGCTCCAGGACGACAACGCGTCACGCCTGCTTGGTTAAACAAACTCCTATTTACATTTACTTTAGTTTAAAAAAAAAAAACTCAGCTCTACTGTTTTTGCTTTCCTACTTTTACTTATTTTCTTCACTTTAAAGTAATTTGGAGGGAGGATAAGGGACTAAGTGCCTATTATTCACGTGTCCCGTTCTTCTACAAGATTAAATGAAAGAAGTGAATTTCGAGGACTTCTAAATAAGTTTTCAGAAGAAACAATCCGTTTAGCTGCTTCATGCCATTTTAGACTCTTCATCTGCAATGATTCCCAACTGCGCAAGCGTGCAGCGTGTTTCAGGCTTCAGGCGCTGGGAAGTGCGACACCTTCATGCATAATGAAAGGGCAGGCCATCATTTTTAGCGGACCAATGAAAAGCTTCCAGATGAGCCTTTTTCTATTGGCTAACGAGGACCAATTAGAAGCGAACTGTTTTTTAGCGGGCGTCTAGCAGCTGCCCACTGTGACGTAATGTGAGGGGTCGCCCCGCAGGGCTGAGCTAAACCAATGAGGAAAGGCAAGGGGACGGCTTGCCTTTTCTCACGCCCCACCCTCAGATCCTGCCAGAGGAAAGTTTCGCTTACAGTGGGGAGACAAGCGAACATGGCAGCCTGTAGATGGTTTTGGTGTGTCTCTGTGACCGTGGCGGTGGCGCTGCTGCTCATTTACAAGGTTCCCGCGGCCTCTGCTCAAAGAAAGAAGGAGGTGAGGACGCGGCTTCCAGCAATCGGGTTCCCCCCCACCAAAAAAATGTGTAGGGCATAAAAGGATCTGTTCACTCCTTCCTGTCCTTCTTTCCCCGCCAGTTTCTGTGCCTTTTAGTGTCTTCAATTCCGCGGTTTTCAGAAACTGTAATGCTTTGTTTTCTGGGGGTGTAATCTAACAGTGGGATGGAGTAGGTGACAACTTGGCGTCTCTACGCCTATGTATGTATATAACTACAACTTTAGACACTTCTTTTGAGTTTGGGCCCTATCGAGTGTTGGGGTTAGGGAGTTCGATTTTAGAACCAGAGGGTAGAATATAAGTCTTTCCGTTGTAGGCAAATGTAACTTCCTTTATTTTTTTTTTAATTTTTTTTTTTTTTTTTTTGGTACCGGGGCTTGAACCCAGAGGTGCTTAACCACTGAGCTACATTCCTAACCCTTTTGAGACATGGTTTCGCTAAGTTGCTGAGGATGGCGTCAAACTTGTGATCCTCCTACTTCTGCCTACCGAGTCTCTGGAATTACAGATGGGTGCCAGCCTAAGTGTAATTCCCTTGTACATGTATAACAACTCTTTTGTGTCATATTCATTTCAGGAATGTGAAAATTAGCCAGAGTGAAATTAGGCTCGGTTTATTATACTATCCAAATACTCAATCATGCAAAAAATAATAAGCATACTATGTATGCACTGTTCTAAGCACGTGGTATATGTAAATGGACAGAATTAAGACCCCTCTTTGTGGAATTTAAAAGCTTTAGGAAGTGGAGAAGATACAGTACTTTACTCAAAATTGAAAAATACCAACATATGAATTTTAATATTATGTTTTGAAATATTTGTGATTTAGAGCCATGTGTGTATGTGTATGTGTGTGTATATGTGTGTATATAATATATATATACACACACACACATATTAGAGATCGAACACAGGGGTGCTTAACCACTGAGCCACACATCCCCAGCCATATATATGTATGTATGTATGTATATATATTTTACATGTAGATGGACACAGTACCTTTGTTTTATTTATTTATTTATTTATATGTGGTGCTGGGATTGAACCCAGTACCTCACACATGCTAGGCAAGCGCTCTACCACTGAGCTATAACCTCAGCCCCTCCCCAGCCCTTTTTATGTTTTATTTTGAGACACAGTGTCGCTAAGTTTCTTAGGGTTTGGCTAAATTGCTAGGCTGGCTTGGAACTCTCAGTTCTCCTCCTTCAGCCTCACAAGCCTCAGGGATTACAGGTGTGTGCCACCGGTGCCTGGCAATTTTTTACTTTGAAACAAGGTCTCACTAAATTGCTAAGGGCCTCGCTGGCTAATTTTCTGAGGCTGCCCTGGTACTTATAATCTTCCTGCCTCATCCTCCCAAGTCACTGGGCTTACAGGTGTGTGTCACCGCACCCAACTGATGTGCTTCTTAGCCATTCTTATGTGGAAAACAAGATGGAGAGCAATTCATAATATTATATGCTAGAATCCTTGTTTTATTTTTTTAATATATGTAAGTATGTATATATGCCTATGTAAGAATGACCTCTGTAATGGTACTCAATCATTCCTAACTCTGGGCAGTTGCTAGTGTTGATGAGGGAACTATTTCAGTATTTACCTTATATACTGGAATTGTCTAAATTTCTGCAATGGCCTCTTATTTTTTTTTTTTTTTTTTTTTTT